AACTTGTGTTCAGATTCTCATAAGCCATGTCCATCTGAAATATAAAAAAGACAATACCTGAATAATATAGAAAAAGAGAATTCGAGAATGAGGAACATCAATAAAACAGTTAAAACGGAAGTCCGAATGAATGAAAAAACTTCAAGATAACTCAAAACGATAAACAGAAAAATGTTTGACTTTACCAACTAACTTTAGGTTTTCGGCCGTTTTGGTCCACCTTGTGCTGCTGAGAGAATTCAAAGTAAAAAAGCAGTTGAAGAGAAAATAAGGCGGATTGGAATGAAGAGGGAAAAAGAGAGTGATGAGATGTTTGGCGGGTGTCACCAGCATGCGTACTAAATCAGGATTTTATTACTTTTTAATTTTCACCACCTCATCTAAAACGACACATCAAACAAAAAAACAAACAAACCTTATATAGTCAACTTTATCTGCTAATATCAATGATAAAAAAACAATTTCCTTGTACGAACTATGTCGTGAATGATAAGAAAGATTATGCTTCATTTGTCAGACTTCATTTTGTTTAAATAACTGCTACCATTGCATCATTTATGGATAGAATTTCGGCAAGAAAAATAGACCCAAAATTTTCTTGTTCGACCATCTTCTCTTTATTCAGTTTCTGAAAGGAAAAAAATATATATATATCGCCAGAAATTTTATGGGTTTTTACTGATATTGAGAAAGCTGGTAAGGGTGAAAGGGAAGAGGAGAATTTCAAGGAGAATTTTCAGAAAGAAATTGCGTGTCACATTTTTGTGGATGGAAAGAGACTCTTTCAGGTGTAATCAGTTGAGAGCTTATGAGGATTTTAGTGGGGTTCTATGAGAATCTTATCCACAATTATTGCTCTATGATTAATATTAATGTATGGCTCATCTAAACAATGCTTTTTTACGTTACACTCTTATGATTTGGGATCATTATAAGCCCTTGTTTGATCTCCATTTTTATGGAAATAATGCATTTTAAATAGTAAATTGATGAAGAATTTGTAATTAAAAATTAAGGAAAATTTTTGAATTTGCGTGTTATATTATTTTATTCAAAAATGTATGGTTAAAAATAATTTTTTTGAAAAATGGGAATCAAACAAGGCAAGGGCAGACCCAGATATTTCGAACTGAGAGGTTAAAAATGAAAATTTCCACTGTAGTCCGTATTCAAGTAGCAACAGGGGCTGAGCTGCTTAAGGATGACCCGATGGAGGGCCGATGGCGAAGAGAAAACTAGAAAGTGGAAAAGACGAGTGAAAAAAGAAAGACGAGTCATGACTCACGTTTGGCAATTGGCAATTTGGAAAAAAATGGGATTTGATTTGGGAATATTGGAACTCATTATATAAGTTGGATTAGATTTGGGTAAACGAGTAAATGGATTATGGATATAGTGATTAGATTTGGGCTGTTCATAAGTGGGCTTGAGTTTGGCAATTGGAGAGGGTAGTTGTTAGGTTTAAGAAAAAAAAATTTCAAAAATTTTGTGAAGTCATTTGACCCCACATGACCGCACGTGGATCCGTCGCTGAAACAAGGGCTAAACAAGATTACAACCCTTTACCTTTAATAGTCAGAATGTTTTTCATTTTGCAAAAATACTCTATACCTTTTGACATTTCTAGAAAGTCGGGTCTACCCATCTTTCTTCACAGGCTATACGTTCGTATAAAAGAGGTTTTAGTTACTTTACACCATATTAACAACTAGTGTAAAACTGAAGCGTCACGTATACTTTATTCATCAGCTAAGTTACAGTGTATGTTAGGTATGGAAGTCCAAAAATTCAAAAGTTGACCCAAAAAAAAAGTTGGCCAGAGGGGGAAGAAGAATGTGGGTAATTGCACATTGCACATAAAGTACAGAATTCCAACTGGACCACGGATCACTTCTCTACCACGCCTAAAATAGCCCTGGTATCTTGCTCTTTCTGGTAATTTATTTTAATTTTATTTTGCAGCTAGCAGATCGATCATATCATTGGATAAAAGTTAAGCATTTTTGTTTCCTTGTTGATATATGAAAATAAAATGTTTTATTTAAGTTTGATAGAAAAAAATAGACACGATGGGATAATATAATTGGTGAAGCAATATTTGAAGAGTTCACATATTTGATTATGAGAGTCGTTTTTCTTATATTGATTTTGTACGAAACTATTAAAGTTAATTTTTTAATTTGTTTTGAGTTTGGAAGCTTCTTTAGCAGTATGTCATTTTGTCCTAGTCTCTTTGGATTTATTAATGAAAGATAATGTTTTTAGTTGCGAATGAAAGTGACTATTTGAAACACAGTCAGTTTTTCTATCTAATCATTTTCTGCCACCACTTCATCTATCAATTCTTTCTGGCAAAGTGGGTAATCCATTCGTGTATTATAAGAGTTGAGTTGGTTGTTAGTTTATTATTTCCTTCCAAATGAATGCCATTTATAGGCTATATCATCCCGTGTTCTAAAAAGCGTAATGTGTGGCAATACGTAGACGTCAAATTTCAATCAATGCATGTCTAGACGAGGTTTAAGTGTGAAAAGGTTTAAAAAGACTTTTTTATTTTAATATTATTTTAAATTTTTAATCAATTTAAAAATTATTTTATAATACATACAAATTATTGTACCAATTGTAGTTTTAAAAGTTTAGCAAAATAAATATATTTTTAAACAATGAACAAAATATATTATAATAGTGCTAATTGAAATATCTGAAGAGTTTTTAATTTTTATTAATTAGTAAAAATAGAAAAATAATTAATTAACTTAATCAAATATAAATAACTATTTATGTAATAGTATAATGCACTACATCGAAAACAACAGTACAATATACTATAGTCAAATAAAAGATATAATATATTATAGCCAAACCAAATGTACAATATACCATAAGCCAAATCAAATGGATTCTTATCTTACATTGAAAGCTTACAATAAAATCTTTGGAGATGTCCTCTATAAATTAGTGGACCAATAAGTGGATAACCAATTTTTTGGTCCTTTCAATCTATTGGCCTAAATGTTGAAAATTTTATAATTATTAATAAATTTTAGGCCTTTTATTCCCATTGACCTAAATATTAAAAATGTCGTGTAGTGTACAATAATAATAATAATAATAATAATAATAATAATAATAATAATAATAATAATGCGTGTCAAGGCAAGCTTAGGCTCGCATTGGCGCACCTTAAAGTGATCAATGGAAGCCCTTAAATTAGCAAATAGGTCCTAGTCGCGACGTTTTTGCTAGGCGCGGCCAAGGACCATTAAATTAGCGCATAGGTCCTAGACGTGACGTTTTTGCTAGGTGCAGCCAAGGTGAGAGCTTGAAAATGATCAATGGAAGCCCTTAAACTAGCGCATAGGTCTTAGATGTTTTTGTCTGGTAGGGCCACTGCTCACTGTTTAGAACACTGATATTATCAATTAAAGAATCCAAGAGAGCTTTATGTTTCACTTGTCTTTTTTACATTCTGTTATTCAATTCTTCTCTATTTTGTGTCACTGATATCAGAGCTTGGTTGGGAGCCTAGAGTAAAAACATAAGTAGCAGCTTTATTTATTTTCTCCCATTTCATTTGTTTTTAATGTATTCGACCACATTCAATAATTTTG